ATTGAAAAACAGAGATATTTTTAATGCCCAATAAAAATATATTTTAAAATTAAAATTAAATTGTATGTATAGACACACACACACACATAATCATATACAGAAGGAAGTGTTGTGAAACGAGTATTCAGCATCTAGCCACGTTCTCTCCTCTCTCTCCCTGACTAAATGGCTTGGAGGCCAAGGTAGTAATTCTGCTTTATGTTGTCCTATGGGGATCACAGAGCCTTGTCAGCACCAATAATCCTAAACTTTGAGAGAACTTTTAAAAACCAAGAAGAGTCTACGATTGTACGAGCTAAATGTATCTTTCCATCGACAGTATCTAACTTCCTCTATCAGAGGGATTTAATACATATCAAAATGGATGAGGATTTAGAGCAGTTCCAAAGGGTATGTAGGCTGTGTGGACTGAGTCTCCCCACCAATTCTGTGGTTCTCTGAGGCAGCTGTGGAGAGACCCTACGTTGCTGTTACAGATTATGGACGCTCCAGCCCATCAGTAGACTTGAAAAACAGACCAGGAGATATACCCTGGTCTCATTGTGTGCTTGAGAAGATGCTGTGATCCTTTGCACAGCATTAAGTCATGTCTGTCTGTCTAGCATAGATCATGCTGGTTATCTGCTCTGTGTACCATTTTGTGTATTGTACATATTCCCTGGCCTTTCCCCTTAAATGTTCCTTTCCAGCATTATGGAGTCAGTAAGAGAGGCTGGCTCAAGTCTCAACCAGTGTGTCTTTCTCTCACCTGATCCTGGCACTCCAGATAAACTACATTACAGGGATAGCTCTTGTGTTCAACTGTTCTCTTATGCCTTAGGAATTATTAGAGACTGCTTCTCCTGTTCTTCCCCCCACCACCTTATTATGCATATAAACCTCTTGATTAGTGGCAATTAAGGCATTTCCTTGGCTTTTATGTTAAATTTTTAGTAGAAAATAAATACTAAATTTCACTTATTTAGCATATACTAATTGCTAAAGTATGTATTATTTTTATCCTTCTCAACAACACAACTATAGACAGGTACAGTTTATCCCTATTTTATAGAAGAAAAAAATGAGAATCAAAGACTAGAAGCTCCTTGCCTCAACTATATCCCCAGTAAAGTGCTGGAGCAGTGCTGGAGCCCATCTGTCTGATTCTGAAGCCCTGCTCATCCTACTACCTCACATTACATCGTTCCCCTGGGAAGATGGATGATTTATAGTTACTAGAAGAGGAGGAAAAAACATCCATAATTTTAAAATCAGAGTTTTACAAGTGACTTAAGAGGCATGCCTTGTGAGGTGAGGAATGACTCTTGGATGGTAGCTGTATGTAATTATCTGTGTACCCCACTCTAACTTGGGGTTATATATTCTTTTCTGCCCTAGGTCACATATTAACAACATTCTTAAGTAAAGATTTGGAATGTTGTGATGATTAATTTATTATATCAACTTAACTGGGCCACAGGGCTCCCAGACATTCGGTCAAATGTTATTCTGGGTGTTTCTATGAGGGTGTTTCCGGATGAGATTAACACTTGGATAGACAAACTGACTAAGCAGGTTTTCCTCCCTAATGAAGGTGGGCCTCACCCAATCAGTTGAAGACCTGGATAAGACAAAACTGCTGAGTAAGAGAAAACTTACCTGAGTGCTGCATTGAGACAGTCATTTCCTGCCTTTGGACTCAAACTGAAAAATCAGCTGTTCCCAGGTTTCCAGGCTGCCAGCTTTCAGACTTGAACTTATACCCTCTGCTGTCCTGGGTCTCCAGCTTGCCAACTACAGATCTTGGGACCTCCATAATTTTGTGAACCAAGTCCTTATTTTTTATAGACACACTATAAAACTACATGTACCAGTATGTGTGTGTGTGTGTGTGTGTACACAAAACCAGTAGACTTGTAGCCTATTGGTTCATTGGTTCTGTTTCTCTAGAGAACTCTGACTGGTGCAACTGTTTTCTGCCTTCCTTTTCTTTGGAACTGCCCCCAAGCCTCTCATTATCTCTCTCCCTTCATGACGCCCACTCTCATTATGTCTCCCTCCTTATAGCTGCTTTAGAATGCTGCTCACAGAATCACTGCAGGGAGTTTATTTTTCAAGGAACACTGCCAGTCACATCCTATTACCCTCCCCCGATTGTGCACGCTCTCTCTCCCTCCCATGCATGTGTGCACACATTGCCCTTCACGCAGTACATCAGCCACCTAGTGGAACTTCCTGTGATGATGAAAATACTACAGATTTCTGCTGTGCAATGTAATAGCCACTGGCCATATGTGATAGTGCAGTTCTCCAGAGAAACAGAACCAACTAGAGAGATGGACGGACAGGCAGATTGACAATAGGAAGCTGGCTTCTGTGATCATGGAGCCTGAGAAACCCTGAGATCTGCAGCCAACATGGTGCCAGGAGAGCCAGCAAGAGAGCCAGCAGGACGGTGACAGCCCTGAGTCTCAGTACAAAGGCCGGAGAAGCCTGACGTCACAACTCCAAGACAGTCCAAGAGACAGAAAGAATACTTTCTTACTTGGCCTTGTGTTCCGTTCCGGCTTTCAAAGGACTGGATGAGTCCCATTCAAATGAGGGAGGGCACTCTGCTTTACCGAGTCTACCACTTCAAATGTTAATCTCATCCACAGACACTCCCAGAAATAATGCTTAGCCACATATCTGGGCACTCCATGGCCCAGTCATGTTGACACATAAAAGTAATCATCACACTACATATGGCTACTGATTACTTAAAATATGGTTGTTAGAGCAACCAAAGAACTAAATTTTTTATTTAATTTAATCAGATAATTTAAATTTAAATAGTGATGCATGGCTCATGATTACTGTATTGGACAACATAGCAATAGATGGTCTCAGTCCTAGACTAGAGCTTTAATTGATGCTCTAGGACCATTCAGACTACTTCTCCATGTATAGCTTCCACCTGGGCTTGAAACACTCCCTCTGGGAGAACGAAGCCACCATGTAAGAAGTCCAACTACCCTGAGACTGCCATGCTGTGAGGAAGTGTAAGCTAGCCACATGGAGAAAGTGAATTGAGAGAGACACAAAAACAGACAGAGACCCATCTGTTCTAGCCATCCCATTTGAAGCATCAGAAATGTGAAAAAAGGAACCATACTGGACCTGGAGCCCAGTCAGGCCTTCAGATGACTTCAGCCAGAACTGCCATCTGACTCTAAGTATATGAAAGCCCCAAGCAAGAAGCTACAGCTCAACTCAGAGAACTACGAGAGATAATAGTTGTCATAGGCTACTAAGTTTTCTGGTGAATTGCAAAGCAATAGATGACCAGAATAAAAACATACTAAGAGAACCAAGGTTCCCTATTTCTCTGGTTCCCCTGTTTCCCAATCTTCTTTTCCTTTCTGTTTCCCACTTCCCTGCTTTTTGGTGGGGTAAAGTTGTATGCATAGAACTGAATTTGGGAAAGTCACAATGATCTGGCCTTTCACTATCTTGGATTTCTTATCTCATGTTTAAAAGGCCTTTTTAAGTAAAGTTATACTATTTTCTGTCCTGCTTTCAAATAGGCCAACTTGGCTTAAAAGAGAGAGAAAGGACTCAAACAAAATCACAAATGAGAGGGGAGAAATAACAACCAACACCACAGAAAAACAATCACAAGAGAATTTTAATGATAAACTATGCCAACAAACTGTACAACCTGGAAGAAATGGATAAATTCCTAGAAACATATAAATTACCAAAACTGAAACAGGAAGAAATAGGAAACTTGAACAGACCAAAGCAAAGAAATTGAGTCAGTAATCAAAAAACTCCCAACAAACAAAAGTCTAGGACCAGATGGCTTCACAGAGGAATTCTACCAAACATTTAAAGAAGAGTTAATGTCTGTCTTATCAAACTATTCCAAAAAATAGAAAAGAAAGGAAAACTTCCAAATTCATTCTATGAGGCCATCGTTACCCTCATACCAAAACAGGATAAAGAGTCCACTAAAAAAGAGAACGTCAGGTCAATATCCCTGATGAAAATAGATGCAAAAATCTCGATAAAATACTACCAGCCAAACTTAACAATACATTAGAAAAATCATTCACCATGATCAAGAGAGATTTATTCCTGAGTTGCCAGGATGGTTCAATATTCGCAAATCAATTAACGTGATACGTCACATCAATAAGAGAAAAGATAAGAACCATATGATCATCTCAATAGATGCAGAAAAAAAGCATTTGACAAAGTTCAACATCCAGTCATGATAAAACCCTCAACAAAATAGGTTTCGAGGGACCATACCTCCATATAATAAAGGCTGTATATGAAAAATCCACAGCTAATATCATCCTAAATGGGGAAAAATGGAGAACTCTCTCTCTAAGGTCAGGAACAAAACAAGGAGGTCCAGCCTTACCACTTTGATTCAACATAGCACTGGAAGTCCTAGCCACAGCACTCAGACAAGAAAAAGAAATAAAAGGCATCCAAATAGGCCAACTTGTACCAATGCTTGCCTTTCTTTCCTTACTAAAGGCCATAACTAGTTAATACAGTCTAACACGCTGGTCCTTTTCGGTCATTTATCTCTGAAAAGTTGAGCCCCAGAAGGCATATATTTTAACATCTTCTTTGCTGCTAGAAGAAAATGGATGGGAGGGGACAGGGATGTGTTGGGGATACAGCCATGTGGTAACTACTGGGTAAATAATACCTCTTACACGTAACAAGACTAGTCATGTAGTGAGAGCCTATGTGAGCTGCACATACAATTTAAAAATTGTGCTATTTGACACAATTATATAGCCTTGAACTTTATCCTTCTATTTGATAATACTTTTTATCCCAGGAATCTCAATATTAATAAAAATTCCAAAGAAATTTATTATTAAATGTCATGAAAACAAATGTTTAGAACAAGGTTTACTATGTTATAGTTGTTCTCAGTGTAAATGACACTAAACAGACTTTGGATCTGAAATATCATCAGGACTCACCACAGCAGTGATTTTTCTTTTCCATTCCAGTTCTAAGAACAAAGGAAATTGGCTATGGATAATTCATATCATTTCAATCAACGAAACTCATGTAACGGACTTCCATCTGAGAAGAAAAACAACTTCCTTGTATCCGAAGATCATGGACAGAAAATTTTAAGTGTACTGCAGAATTTTAGAGAACAAAATGTCTTTTATGATTTCCAAATAATCATGAAAGATGAAATAATCCCATGTCATCGCTGTGTCTTAGCAGCGTGCAGTGACTTTTTCAGGTACTTCACTTGTATGTCTGTGCCTCAGATTCTGTGTTACTATGTTTCATAACTACTGAATTTCTCCCCTACAGGAGCATGCAACAGTAATTTTTAATTCTTAAAATAAAAACTAATTAGAACCTAGATTAACTAGTGATTTTTGAATATGAAGATTTATGACTACCTTTTTTAATGGTTCAGGTCTTCCCAGGTCAGCATTTCCTAAAGTTATACGGAACATTGGTCCCTTGAAATGTTCTGGGGGAAAAAAATTTTTTCAATCTAGAGTCAGTTTTGTTTGGGAGAGTTCTTGCATTGCACTGTTTAGGGAAAAAAAAGGAGAGGACAAAAGGATTAAAAAATAGAAATATAGTTCAAAAGAAAGGAAAACTGAGTTCAGTCATGTATCTGTGGGTTATACAAGGGAGAGGGACTCACACAGAGGATTTCAAGATTTCTCCTCTCTTTGACAAAGATATTCCTCTAGGGGAAAGGTACCTCCAGAAGCATTTCTGGAGAACACCCAACTTGTTCTGATTCTAGGCAACCTTCTGAATATAACTTGGTTCCCCTTGTAGGTCATCCTTACAGGGAATGTCCTAGTCATAACACTGTTAGAACCCCCTGTGGCGACAGTGGGTTTCTGATTCTGCAAGGGTAAGCGTCAGACATATGACCTTAGTACTGCGGTAACTGCATCAAGGTCATACCATCCTGTGAGGCCTCTTGGTCAGACACACAAACCTCTCTTGGTGACATCCTGGTCTTCAGCCCTCCCAGTCACACTGCAATAAATTTAATCCTAATTGCAGTATTTGCATTATGTTCAGTTTTAGAAACAATTTTTATTTTAAATAAGGATGACTTAAATCTCTAGTAATTAAAATTTATAAAAACAGAGTAAGATTTAAGATATAAATACACTAGATGCAAGTTAGCTTATACTGATTTTAATCCTTAATTAAACTCCTATTTTGCCACCAGCATCTGATTAGACCTCACCCCCGTTGCCCTGGAGTGAATCCACAGAAGTGTATTGATATTCACTACTTGCTAAACTCCCGTTCCTGGGGGGTTTCCTGCTTGTGTGGGGAGCAGTGGCTCAGTGCCGTGTCCCACCCCACCAGGGACGTGGAAGATACACCTTTGCCCTACCCAGACACTGGTTCTTTCTCTGTTCCTGTCATGTCTTCTCTGAGGTAACCTAAGCTATTCTTCGAACTCCACTGGGGCCCCCACTGTCCCTGTGCTCTGCCATTCTATGGTTCCACCAGTTTCTTCCCTGCTCTGTTCGACTCCAGGTTTTCTTCCTAGTAGCTCCATTCTGCTCCCCCACCCTCTGTCACCTCTTCCTGACAGGAAGCTGGATGCTGTAACGGTTAAGAACCTGGCCTCTGAATACACAGGCCCCAAATCTAAATCCTGGTTCTGCCACTTAATCAGACGTGACTTGAAGCAAGTGACTTAATTTCTTCAGGCCTCAGGTTCCTTATTTGTAAAAATTAAGACAATAAATTACAGAGTCATTATGAAGGTTAAATGAAGTAATGTATATGTACTGATTAGGACCGTGTCCGCTACATTCAACCAACACTAGATGCTATGAGTACTGTTATTTCCAAACCTAGCAAAAAATGGACATAATCTGGTGCAAACACACAGGTTGATTTCCCTATCATGTTAACAAAGTAAGAAGTTCATGTAG